TCGGTATAGTGTTGTAGATGATACTGAACTGCGGATGTAAGGTCAAGTATTATACTTGTAGCAATTTGTTTCGAACACGTACGTCGCTCCTTGCCTTCTTCCCGTAAAACTTCAGTTTCTCTATTACCATCGCCCTTTGACCATTCATCTATCCACTTCATCCACATCTCTAGTTGATCTATAAAGGTCCAAGGCTTCGTCCAGTCGAGCACTATCATAATAAGTGTATTGGGTATCGCGGATCTTGGAGGTAATACATTGGAGACTAGTTTTGTATGGATTGAATTTGAAGATTGAACCGTATAAACTGATATTCGAGCCAACGTATCTACAATGGCCGCTTTGAGTCGGTCGTTGCACCACTGTATGTTAAAGACACGAACCTTCATCAGCGTCGTCTCTTACATCAGCCCAGTCAAATCCAAGCGCAAAATCATCCCGAGGTCGATCAGGTTCCAAGGGTTTCTGCAGCAAAGACGCCGCGAGTGTGGACTTCCCAGTACGTGGTTCGCCTAATAGTAAGACCTGTTTAGACGGTATTGACCTTGAATTGGAAACTGAATCTAAAATTGATGACCAAAGGTCTTGAGTTGGCGATGACGGTCTGGAGGCTGTAGTTGCCATGTCCAAATTTGCCATTCCTCATTTCCACCACATCCGCTAGCTCCTCGACTCGCAGTATTTTTCCATGGAAGGCAAAGCGATACCGCGATATCATGTAGACGAATCGGATACTGTTCGTACACTGACACTACCGTCATGGACGATAGTTGTAGAGAATCACCCCATATCTAATGCGTCTCATCTGGATGAGCTCCACCAGAAGCTAGGAATTCCGTTACCTGAAATGACATTTGGTCACAATGTTATTCAACTAAAGCATCACAAATCAGGGTGGATATATCGTTTCGATACGTTGCACGCTCTTCAGATGGTAAAAAACGGCCCGCTCGAAGAAGGGGACGGTGCAGCCAAAGTTCGCCATGCCGAAGCATGGTTGAAGAGCAGGTAAAATCTATAGATGTATTTAGGTGGGTCTAAATATCCATAGGACAGATCCTCAATCTCAAACACCGATGCCAGAAACGGTTCCAACTAAACCGTATGATTGGACCTATACAACCATGTATGAAGGACATATCCCTGAGGACCTGGATCACGAGTTGGCTTTTATTCGTGCCGATCCTTCAGAATCAAGCCACAGCATACCTTTACAAGAACTACAGAGACATGACCCCATCTTATTCTATGCTCAGTCGCTACTATTCGAGGACGAACTGCATGATAACGGGTCATCTTCACTTCTCATTAGACTTGTGAGTTTGCGTCCTTTCACCTCACTATCGTTACCAACGTTACACAGCGCGTTATGCCAGGCTGTCTCTTCCTTCTTGCGAGGTTTACTCTGAGAGTGGATCAAGTCCTCTTTCGAATATTTGATACCCGAGTTTATCATTCTTTCACTTCCTCACCTCCTCTGGTGGTCAATGAGGTGGTAGGGATGGAAGCTCCGTATGATATTGTGAAACAAGTAGGTTCAGAGACATATTCTTTGATTTGTACTCACCGGTTTCTAGCGTCTCGAGGATCCCGATGACCTCACACCCCTCACTGATTCGACATTCATTGCAAATACCCTGGGATCATTCACACCGCAGCAAAAGCAAATGGGAGCAAACACAGGCTGGCGAGGCATAGGAAGAAAAGTCGAAGTAGTAAATTTACAAATTTAATATGGTTACTTGAGAGCCTGACGTCGCGGTCTTTGACAATGATAATAATACGTGATTATCTTTGATCTGTATCTTAGGTCTACATTTTAGTGTTAACTTTTGCAAAGCTCCTTACGAGGTGATTACTAATGCCGGCGCGTCTGGTGGACGCATTGACCAGTACGAAGCCACTAGTCCTTGCTTAGACCTGACCACTCTGCATCTCTTCTCCAAAAATCTACAAATCTTTCCGTCTTCTCAACAGTAAATCGCACCGACCTGTCTTCACTCTTTTTTGTTCGTTTCGAGGCATTTTCTGTCGTGGTAATCATAAAGCTAACTATTTGCAACTCCCAATAGCAGCATGCCAACAGCCACCACAACTTCCAAGAATGCCCAATCCACTCTAAACTCCAAGTCTAGATCAACTGATCGAAACAAGGGCAAGGTTCAGAAGCGTCAGTTTGGGCGCGTTAGGCGCGAAGATGATGAAGACATTGTTCGTGAAGCGAGATCAGATGATGGTCAATCTGAAAGCGAAAATACCGATGATGCTGATTCTTTGTCTGAATCAAGCGCTCTCTCCCTTCCTGACTCACATCTCCCCTCAAGTAGCCAAAGTCGCCCAACACCAGTCTACTCGAATGGTCAAACGTCCACATTATCCGACGTGTCAGAACCTGGTACCTCTTCAGGGAAGCACTTACTCAGTGTTTTACAAGGATCGCACCTGGATTGGTCAGACAATGTCATGGCTACCGAAGGTGACGTGCCGGAAGTCCAGTACCATGAAATGGGTGACCTGGACTTATCGGACCACCGGCGGATTCCAGAAGAGGAGGGAAAGTCTACTGGCTCACCGAAACCTAAACGCAGGGGAGGTTCTACCTTCAGGAGGCCTGTTGGAATGAGCGCTCGCCAAGTATATTTAAAGCGTTTAGAGAACGATCCTGCGTATACTCCACGGGTGGGAGAGTTTTGGGGACATGATGAACGGTTATTGGACAAGGACCTTCGGAGTTTAAGTGGATGGTGGCGAGGCAAATGGACAGGTAGAGAAGAGGGGACGCCAGCGCCTGACGACCGCAATCGTGGTCCAATGGCCCGAGGGAAGGCTACAACAAACAGAGGAAAAGGCAACAGATCACCTCCACAGGAAAATGTTGACCCAGTTGATCTGGCCTGGAAACATGATGGATTCGAGGAAATGCAGTCCGTCGAAGAGCGGTCTCCCAAATTTTCACGGAACGGAAATGAAGGGGCCACTCGCGGCACATTCAAGGGCCGTGGCCGCGGGGGAGGCTTTGCAGGTCGAACATCAAGATCTCACTCATTTACCCCACAAACTCCGCAATCTACCGAGGCACCTCGAAGACCTTATGCGCACTCCCGAACGCAATCTATGGGCTGGAATCGCTACGAGCATGCATGGACCAAGCATGCTGTCAGTTTTCTCTTCCAAGATACGTTAAACAAGCCAAAAAGGGGCGAAGAGATTGGTATCCGCGTCAAACTGCCAGGTCAACAAAAATTCAACGTCGTTCGTGTTCCAAATAAACCTGTACAGAAGGAGGACAATGAGACTCCTTTAAGTGATCGCAGCGCGGCTCGATCCTTCATTGTCAGGTTGCCGAAAGTGTCCAAGGATGATAGCACCAACGACAAAGTCACCCTGGAGAGTGCCCACACCGTCGCGTCTCCCCCACTTCCCGAAGAGGCGACCAACCCAATGTACTCCATTCCAACACAAGAAGCTGGCGGAAATTCTGCTCCTCTCACGGCACCCACCACTATCGAATTCGCCGATCAGGCTTTACAAATGGATTCAAAGATCCCCGAAGGCGTACCGGTTCCTTCTTCGTCCTTGCAGGTATCGACTTCAGCGGATCCAGCTTCAAAACCAAATCCAAGCGTGCAGCTCCTGACATCATTACCCACCACCGCACCTTCTCCAGCCTTTTCTTCACCCTCCTACCCTCCTGGCTACCAATTCTCACTCCCTCGCCCTACAGCTATCTATCCCCAGCATAGTCATCCAACCACGGATACCTCGGTATGGTACGACCCTCGTATGCCGTATGGATATCCTACTCCTCCACCATTGCCTGGACACCAAATGTATACCCCTCCACCACACGTTCACCATATGCATCACCATTCGCACTCTATGTCGC